TGAACAAATAAAATAAAATAAAGTAAAAGGGGAGATTTGAAAAGAAAATATATAACTAGAGGAAAGAATAGGAGAAAGAGCATGGACCAATTTTGTTTTTGACTTCACTCAAATTCTATAAATCTCATTAACTATCTGATTAATCCCATATTTAAATATCTCCTCATAAATTATAAAGTTACCCTTTTACAATTTTTCTTTTTTAAAATTCGTGCATCAAAGCAAGTTTCTCTTCAAGTTTGGACATTATATATTCATTGGATAAGTTTTTAGTATGATATAATTTTTTTTTTTTTTTTCAAGTCTTACTTGAGGATAACGTGAGTACAAGATTTACCCTTTCGTGATTATCAATTGAGGCCATAATTATAAATATAAAACAAAAAATGTAATATTTTTAACGGTACTTATTTAAAAGTTGGGATTTCATTAGAACTCAAAACCCAGACACTGTAGGAATCAAAACAGGAAACTTCAGTCACCGACTTCGCAAACTTCTACTCCTTTTCTCATTCTGCAATCTATTAATATGAACTCCCACTGTCACTCATTCAATCTCACCTTCTTTTGTATTCATGATGCAAAACCCTTCTTCTTTTTCTCAAGAAACTCAATACCCACAAAATCCTCCTTTTATTTTTCCTCAACCAACACCCAATATATTTCATGCACCACCTTCTTCTCTGATTCAACACCCTACTTCTATTCAGCCTATCCAATCCTTCCCTTCGTATCCTGATTCTATGGCTGCCATGCAAATTCCAGAAAACATTAGCATGATTTTTCCCGGCTTAAAGTTTTGTCCAAGTGATGATGAATTAATTGGTTAGTACTTGCACAACAAGATTTTTGGTGGTTTTCCATTGTCCTGCTGTAGCATCATCAAGGATTGCGATCTTTATAGTACTCAAGAACCCTGGGAGATATGGGATTTTTATAAAGGACAGTTCAAGGATGATGAGGATCTTTACTTTTTCACTGCCTTGAAGAAGATGAAGTCTAGTAAGAGCAAACGTAAACGTTTTTTAAGGAAAATTGGTTCAGGTTCTTGGATGGGTGAAGATGCTGGCCAAGAAATTCGAACTAATATAGGAATTGGGTTAAAAAAAAGATATAGATATGAAAACAAAAGGTCCGAGCATGATGGAGAGTGGATAATGCATGAGTATTCATTATTGGATCATGATGAGTATGTGCTATGTCGAATTCGAAAGAATGATCGGCCTGCTAAGAAAAGGGGTTTGGCCAAAAAGAGGAAGTCTTCTGAAGAAGTTGAGCATATAGATGAGAATTTTAGCTCTAATAAGTGCTTTAGGTTTCAAAATTATCAAGAAACGGTAGAATGTGAAGCCACGTCACTTGTGAATGATCATCAGAATATTCATGATTTTACTGAAGACATTGCAGCAGATTCATCTCATGTAGAAGCAATTTTTCTTGGCGTAACTAATGATAGTGAGTTGGCTGACCTGGGAGCTTTCTTGGTTGATGAAGAACAAAGTGCAATACTCTTTCTAGACAATTGTTGATGATGGTCTTTTTCTCTCATCAAGAGCAACTTGAGCTCTGATTACTTCTCTTCTTATCCAAACCAGATGACGGAAACTGGAACGACTTTAATGGTTTATCATCCATCTCAATCTCAATATCATCTTGGTGAAAACGGCTTCAATTGGATTTCTGCAACTGAGTTGGGTGTGCATATGTGATTAGCGAGCAAGGCTTTACATTAGAAGAGTTTCGAGCAGATTATAATATTCAATTGTACAATTTACTATCAATTCATTTGAATAACATTCCCATATTATTTTAAACCGTTTCCAATCACTTGAAGTATTTTTTTTATTTTTTCCTCGTTTATGTTGAATGTAGTTTGGTTCTGGTTCAGGACGTTGAATTTTATTATTAGTAATTGGAGCGAATTAGGAAATAAGAGTATGGCGGGTCAGCAGCAGGATTGTTTATATACTACTGTAAGACGCGGCTTCTAAAAGAGCCGTTGAGGGAATTTTCTTTTACTTATTTATTAATGTTGAATTTTGAATTCATACTTTTAGCGCTAAAAATGTGAGGGCATTTTGGGTATAGTCCCAACAAGGTCAGTTGGAAGAATTTAAATTTCATTTTAATTTGTTGGAAATTATATTTGAATTTTAAATCCAAATATAATTTACCCCCCAGTATTCGATATTTTTTTGTAGTTTTATTTATTTTTTTTCATAACGGGCATGTCAATTTTTTAAAAGAATTTTTGTTCGATTCTTCTGTATTGATGGTTAGAATTCTGATATCTGGGCTTTGATTTTTAATTTTTTGTTTTAATTTGATTTCTTTTATTTGGTTTAGATTTCAATGAAATTTATTTGTGTGGGATGTGGGTAATTAATATTGGTACATTGTATTTTCAGGCAAAGGTAACAGCGGATTCTTTTGCGTCTAGAATGACGGTAAATATTTATTCTTAAACTGAGTGATTTTGTTTCACTAGATTATTGAAGGGGCAGAATGTTTCTATGGTTTCTGTTTTGGTTTTGTATATCTTATATATAAGATTTTTCCTTTCAGGATATTTATGCCATGTAATTCTAGTCTTGTATATTGAGGCAAAAATGGTTGAGAGGCATCTTGTTCTAGTATTTTTGTTTCCTCATAGATTGAATATTTCTTTTTCAGGGTTTTAGAATTGTTAAGCTGAACAATTTTCTGAAAATAATATTGGATAGTCCCTAAGTTTCTAAATTTGTTGGAAAAATGATAATTATGTTTCTTACCATATGTTCTGTTTCAGAATGGATTTTTCTAAGTTCTATGTTTTAGGTTTTTACTGGAGTACTTGTGCTTACTTTGACCTTGCTGCCGGAGCTCCCATGCCTTGAAAGTATCATGAACAGTTGGTTGTCCAGTGAAGTTTAGCGACAAACAAAAAATAAAGATGCTTGAAAGATGGAACTCAGTACAATTCTCAGAAAGAGGTTGATTTGATGATGAATTGTTCCATTCTTAAGACATGAGCAGTTGTAAAATCCTCATCCTTTATACACTCTCCTCATCAGTCCTCAAACTCACTGACATTGGTTGTCCTTCATTTTTCAAATCAAAGTATCATCAAAACACAAGTACAATCAAAGTTTTCAAATCACCCTACCACCATTCTCGCCCAAAATCATCAAAACTTCAAATCGACCTACTACCATTCTCACCCAAAATCATTGCAACAAAAGCACAATCAAACTTCTTAAAATCGGCATGCTGCTTGGCCTCCATGTGATAGTCTTGCGAGGGCCTATGGCCACTGCAAGGCCCCTTACACAAAAACCAAATGTGGTCAGCCTTGAAGTCCTTGTCAGCAAGAACTGAGGAGGGAGAAAAGAAGGAAGAGATAAAGAAAGAGATTCGCGGATGACCACTCTTTCACCAAGTAATTTAATAATTAATAAAGCCTTCTAATGGATTCTCCTATGACATTTGCTGCAATAACTCTTCGCTTAGCTAATTTGGTGATGGTGCTGCTGTTGTATAATAGTTATGGAGGGTGGATATATTTTGTTTTTTCTTTCTTGGAGATAAGGGATGGAGGGGTATTATTGGGTGGGGGCTTTTGTGTAGGTGAGGTAGTGGGGAAAGGTGATTGATGAGGCATGACTGTTATATAGTTGAATGAGTTTTGATTGAAAGTGTTGAATGGGTGTATGATTGTTAACAGTAGGGATTGAAAGGCTTTTCATGCTGGTGTTGACTGATGGTGGTGTTAAAGTTTATGGTGTTAGGTTCAAGTGGTAGAATATGTTAGGTTTTGGTTTCAGGTTTGCATGGTGGTAGGGTATAATCAGTTGGGCATGGGAACCTAAGGGCAATAAGATCATTTTACCCCATTTCTGTTGAAACGAACAAAACTGATTGACGACAGGGGTTTTTGTTTAATTCTTGGTACTTGAGAGGGTTTTCAAAGTTTGAGAAAACCTTGGGAGGTTTAATAATAATCTCTTAATAATAATAATAGTAATGAGTTAAATTGTTTGATTGAAACTGATAAGTTAATTTGTTCAATTGAAACTGATGTATGTTTGTTAATTATATGTGGTTGTATGCTTATTAAGAAACTGTGACTATATTTGTTTGTTTATAAGAATGTTAAAAAACGTATAACATATTTGTGTAGTTTGTTTTATGATGTTTGTGGAGTTGATTAGTTGTATGTTGTTTGTTTGTTTGTTTTTTATAATGTAGGTTGAAGCAGGTGTTATTTGATTTAAAAATTGAAGCATTTAGTACTGAGTGTGAGATATTGAAAGTTGATCTTGATGAATTTAGTTATATAGTCATGATTAAAAATATCAAAACATGTGTTACTTATGAGCATGAGGTAGTTGAGTTATATCCAGATGAGAGATTTAAAGTAGAGGCTAAGTTGCATTTGTTTGTTGCTAGATATCCAATTAGGGTTGATAAGTATATGCAATTTATATTTTAGGTGTATAGGATATTAGATTTTATGTTGAGGCATTGCCCTTAGACAATATAGAAGTATTAGTATTGATGAAAGGTCATTTAAGCAATGAGCTTATAGTAGAAACACCCTTAAAACTGAACCTAATGTCAATACTGAACCCATGATTGAAATTCCCATTCCTAATGAGCCTTGTAATGAGAAAGATCCTAAGTCAGGATTAGATGATGGGGGTAATCAGGATGAATTTCACTAGAGTGATGATTCTGAGGATGATGTAGATAGTGCTAATGGAGAGGGTGGTAATGGAGAAGGTGGTAATCAGGGGTATAAAAATGGAGGAGTGTTGTCTGATTACTAGTCAAATAGTTAAGATGGGGTAGGATTAGGTTCTAATGAAGAGGATAATGCTGTTTCTAGGATGAGCAAAAGTATGAAGAGGAAAGAGTTTAAATACGGTCCTGATGGAAAAATTTATTTTCAAGTTGGCCAGGTTTTTAAGTGTGTTTTATCACTTTAGGAAAGTGTCTAAAGATTATGTTATGGTTTGGTGTTACTAAAATGTATAATGAGGGGAGGAGATTTAAAGCTGTATGTAAACAACCAAGGTGTCCTTTTCATGAATATTGAACTTTGATCATTGATAGGAAATCTTATCAATTAAGGATATATGAGCATAGTCACACTTGTATGAGGATTTATGCAACTTCAATGTGGGTAGTAGAAAAATCGGTTGACTTCATTACATCACATAAAGGCTCATCCATTAAGCCTTTAGATGATCAGTCTGGTAGGGTACATTATCTAGAGTTGCCAAAACATAAGTTTTATATAGCTCATCTGTTAAGCCTTTAGAAAAATTGTTTGACTTTATTAGATCACATAAAGGCTCATCCATTAAGCCTTTATTAGATGATAAGTTGGGTAGGGTACATTATCTAAAGTTGTCAAAACAGAAGCTTTATAAGGCTAGGAAGGAACTGGGTTAAGGAGAAGACAGATAAAGAACATGCTGATTGATTTAATTGGCATTGCAAGTACAATCACAGTGGATGTTACTAATCTTGGTTCTTTCATAGATGTTTGTGTTATTAGAATAGATGGGGTGGCTAAAACACCTAATTTTAAAAGATATTTCATAGGTTTTGAAGCACAGAAAATGGGGTTCTTAGAAGGGTGCAGGCCTTTTATTGGTATTGATGGAAGCCACTTTAAGGGCCATATGGGGGAATGTTTTTTACTGCAATAAGATGGATACAAACAGCGGTAATTTTTCACTTGCTATTTCCATTTGTGAGGTGGAAAACAATGACTCATGGGGTCCCATTCCTTAGTCCATTGCATTATTTGATCATCTCAACATGGCAAACTGATTTTTATGTTTTTTTTACCATTTTTACTTGCAGAGGGGCAATGGTTCATCTGATACAGATTTTAGACGTGAAGCCCCCTGAATTGAAGCTGGTTCATTTGGTGGCATGTCAAATTTCATGCAGCAGCAAATTTTAGAGGTAGTGTAAATCCTTTCTTTAAAAATTTTCATATTTCATCATGCAATATTAATATCAGTATTTGATATGTTATCCTAATAGGTTCTCAGCATTGCATTTAAGAATCTTCTAGTCAAATATCAAGCCAAGTCTTCAGCTTAACATAGCAACCAAACCTAAGAGGTACAAGTGAATTTATTTTTGTCTTTAATATGAAATATAATAATGACAAGAGTTTATAACATTGCAATGTAAACTAGTCAAGTAATGGTGTTCAACAATGAGAAGAGTTGTTTAGTTTTTGGGCATGATACAACAGCTGTTTTTTGAAGAATTTTTGGTGAATTTTAGATGATGAGGATGTGCATATAGGAATGTAAAATCTTATGCAGATACAAGTGATTTTCTTATTACTTTTGTTTATGGATTTGAGTGTTCTGTAGTCATTAGGTGAAAAGATTGATCTATATGTACACAAATTATATTGATCTTTATGAAAACAGATTATGCTTTCATTTCAATTTATGTTGTTTTAATATTGTTTTTGGGAATGTTTTGTTTTGATTAAAAATCTGAGCAACAGACTACACAAAGATATTGTCTCAGAGGGAGAATCGGAGAATGAAGAAATAACGGGGGTTGTTAAACAACCTGAGAAGTGCTATCCAAAAGAACGAGGAAAGCTTGTGAAATTTCCTTATAGCAGTTATATGTGAGCTCTTTATGGAAGGGACCAATCGAGTAACGAGTCATCTGTTGACAGCCGCAAAGGGTCTTTAGCCATAGTTCCTGCTATCCCCGTTGAAGACATCGAGGTGAACCTTCACTCTGACATGGATTAGCCTATGCTTCAGTCCCAGTCCTCTCATCCACTGGATCTGTCAGCGCCCAAGGGTAAGAAGAGTAAAAACAAAGGACGACGATCCTAGCTTCTTTTTCTTTTTCTTTATTGTAGAGTCTGCATGCTCTCTTTGGACGTTTGTGCCTCATTTTGTGTTTTTGTTTCGGAGCCTGCGTGCTCCTGTTTAGACCTCTGTGCCTTTTTTTTATTTGAGCCTGCGTGCTCTTGGGACAAGGGTGTGTGTGCCTTTGTCGTTTTTGTTTGTTTTTGGCCTATGGGCCGTTTGCGTTACTCTGTAACCTTCTTCTTTTAGTTTATAAAGTTTACTTAACCAAAAAAAAAAAAAAAAAATTATGAGCATTTAACAAAACACTTTTTCAATTCATATCAGCCATGAGCATTTGAAAATACATTTTCAGTTTACACAAAAAACTAATCAATTTCCACAATAACAACATGATTAAACAATACAAGATCTTTTTGTTCCTTTTTTCTAGCTATTTCACTTTTTCTTCTAAGTTCTAAAGCCTCCATAGCCTTCACATTCGCAGCTTCCATGTCTGAAACAAATGCCTTCAAGGCTTCAAATTCTTCAGCCCTCACAGCCTCATTCTCCAAAATTTGCATCCTACTCCTCAGATTTTCCATCTCTTGACTCTCCTGGTGTTCAGCTCCTCTCAGTATAAACACCCATTTACTTCATCAGGATATGGCATCCAAAATCGAAAATAACCACACTCATTTCTGGAACAACAAAAATACAGTTTGTGGGGACTTCTTTCTGATTCAGGGATGCCAATATATGTCTTCCTTCAGCATTTGCAATGTGTATTTTTGAACATTATGGTTTCATACTTGGCGGAGTGCCTGGGCTCTTTGGCTCAAAAATTGGGATTGAAACAATGAGTTTAAGGTGTAAACGGAATCGGTTTTGGCTTGGTTGATGAAATGGGAGAAGGCAAATGAAGTGTTTGAGAGGAAGAAGATGGAGACTGGTTATACAGAGGGGTTTGTTAGAAAAATAATTCTTGTAAAGTTACTGTGCAACAGAAGCCAATTTAAATTTTCAAAAGTTTGGGCAATTTCGTCATTTCTACTATGTAGTTTTTTGTCCGTATCCAAGGGTAATTTCATCATATTGGTTTTTATAGATCTATTACTCATTTAATCTTTAAAAATATAAAAATCAAATCAATCAGGGGCAATAAGGTCTTTACTCGCTTTGCAATTCACGACAGCTACTAGCTAGAGTTGAGTAAATATAAATCGGCCTATTTTATAATATAATTTTTATTTAAAATAATTTTTCCGCTTGCTGTCTCACAAATACGCTGAATCATCACTCAATCAACTTGTTCTTTAAACTGTCTGTAGATTAAAGAAGAGCGACCTCGTCCCCGTACCACTCAAAAAACAACCCAAAAAAATGGAAAAAAAAATGTATGCAGTGTTCCTCATATTAATGGGTTTTAGAGAGTTTTTATAGATCTTTATTTTCTGGTTTTTTTTTTTTTTCTTCTTTTGCGTGTGAAACTTTGGGTTTTTCTGAGTTTGAAACAACTTAATAGGCTTTGTATTTTCTGGTTTATTTATTTGTTTGTTTTGAGTTGGATGATGATGAGATTGTTCTTCTGTTTCAGTGTTTCCTTCAAATAATCCGTGGATAGATAATGGCTGCTCTTCTCTGAGTTTTGAGAAGAACATTAACTTCAACTGGTGTTCAAATAATTGACATTTTCCTTAATTCTTTTTCAAATTATAATTAATTTTTGGTTTCCTCTTCTTATTGTTGTAATGATAAATTATTTAATTCACACTTCCACATGTAAAATCAAACAAATTAAATTAGATTTTATACAAAATAACAAAGTTTTTCTTTAACATCTAGCTTTGCATTTGGGGGTGTCAAATAACTTTTCATAGAAATAATGAATAACTCAACACAGAAGGATGAGCATGAACTATCAACGTTTCTCGATTCCGGTATTTACCGATTCCAAAACTCAAATGCGGTTTTCATAGACCCGGTTCGTGTACTCAACCGATCCTATACCGGGTTTAGGGTTTCCGCATCTGCATATTACTCCCGTTTCTTGGAAACCAAATACGCCGAAAAAGAAACCAAAGTTTCTTCAAATTCAAAGAAACGAAAACGAAAGCAGAAAAAACCCCACATTCTTAACGAAAGAGAACGAGCTGCCGATCAACGTCACCAGGTAACCATTGGTTTTTTTAAATTTTATTTTATTAATTCAGCATAGAATTTGATAGGTCTCTTGTTTAAAATTTATTTTCCTGCCAATTCTGGTGTCAACTAAAACTTGGAGTTGTTTGGATTCTGTTGTCGTGTTTATTGCAGGAAGTGAAGCCGGTGTTATTGAAGGCGCATGAAGCTCTGTTAGGTGCTACAGATCTTTTAATGATTATGGGAAAATTGAGGACTGAGATTTGTTCTTCATCAGAATGTGGTGTTGAACAATCGTTTGTTGAGCTTGGAAGAGTGTGGCAAGCCCCTATGTATGAGATAACTTTCAATTTTAATCAAGGTAACGAACTGCAGTATTGTAGTTTTTATAGATGGTAATCTCTTTAGGTATTTTTGTCTTTGAAGTTGAACTTCATAATTGATTCACAGGTTCCGAAATTGATCGATGCAGTGAACAGAGGGTGCTTCCTTTGTTTAATAATTTGGTTGCTAATGAGACTTGTGATGATGTGGAGGCTGAAATTTTAACCAGAAGATATATATTGCCGAGACAAAGTTGCTTCTTCATGGTAAGCTTATATTTTAATTTTTCCTTTTTTTAATTATCAGAAAAGAAAAGGCCTAATTTTTTTAAATCTTTTTAATCTTAGTCGTCAGTAATTGATATGTGGTAGATCCTGTTGAAGTTACTTTTGTAAGCATAATTATGAATATTCGTAACACGAGTCTTACATGTTTCTGTGTGTTTGTCTTTTGTCATGAGAAGTCTGATCTGGGGCAGATTCACAACCTTATTCCGGGTAACTACCGCTTTTGGAGCTGAGTTTTATTTGTTGAGTTTGTGCACTGTTGTGCTGGCAAGTTGTTTTTGTACTTGGAAATCTTGGCTCTAGTTTAATTTTGCTATGAGAAGCTGATTGATAGCTTATTTTTGAACATATTATTCTCCAAAACAGACACAACTTTGTTTTATATTGTTTATTGAATTTTTATACCAATTCTAGATATATGATGTTAAAAGCACTTTTTGGTTTAAATCATCCTCAATGTTTTCTTTGTGTGACTTAGGCAGACTGTTAGACCATTGCAAACCCACTACTAAAATACTAAAATTTAATACCCCGTTCAGTTTATAAATTCTTGCAGTTTCACAAAAGATTTCTTAGATGCTAGAATGTGATTAGTTTAAACATTGAACTGTCAACTAATTTTTGAGAATCTTCACTTATTCTCTTTTGCAGCTGAATCTAATTGTGGTTTCAATCTCATAGTGATTGATCCTCCCTGGGAAAATGGAAGTGCCCGTCAGAAATCATTGTAAGAAATCATATTCTTTAGTGGTTTAAAGGCTTTCCAGCTTCCAGATATATGCAAGTTGCTGCTGATAACTTATTTACTATTTTTTTCACGATGTTATATGCATGACTAATTCTATGTTGTAGATACTAATAGAACATTAGCCAAAATGATCATGATATCATTCTGTTTTCCTCATCATCATAGGTACCCTACTTTGCCGAACCGGTATTTCTTATCCCTTCCTGTTAAGCAACTTACTCACACAGAGGGAGCACTTGTAGCCTTATGGATGACTAACAGGGAGAAGCTGTACAATTTTGTTCAGAAAGAGCTATTTCCCACATGGGGAGTCAGCTATGTGGCTACTTTTTACTGGTTAAAGGTGATCTCTTTTTCTCTTTCTCAATTGGTAACATACTCAATTATTCCAGCTGGTTCTCTCTCACTCACTCACTCACTTGTTATAAACTTGTGAAAATAATTTATCATGCCAATAATTGGGTACTTAATGTTACAGGTGAAAGGAGATGGGTCACTGATTAGTGACTTGGATCTCTTTCATCATAGGCCTTATGAATGCCTTCTTCTGGGATACTGTTCGCTGGAGGTAAGTTTACATAATGGTTTCAGGCTTAGGTCTAATTGTTTATTCTGCTGTTATTGGATGGTATTGTCTTACAAGTTTTTTGTTGTATTGCTTATCTCTTTGCTTGTTTTGTAGGAAGCTAACTGCAAATACCAATCAGGATTTAGAGCTATAAAGGATAATCAAATCATTATAAGCATTCCTGGAGATTCCTCAAGGAAGCCTCCAATTGGAGGTATTTCTCACTCAGATTTTTATTTAGTATTTTTGACTGCATATTCAAATACACATATCTATCAGAACTATTTTTGCTCTTGTTTGATATTATGGCTCTGTTTTCTGACATCTTATGTGATATTGTTTTTGGATTTCTACCTCTTGGAGACAAAAAGTGTGTATTTCTCATTTTCCAAAAATCTTTTAGGTTTACTGCAGAATTAGCTCTGCTGCTGATTTTTACCTTTTAGTAAGCAATAATCTTTGGAGAAAACATATGCTTTCTGTAATTTAATTAGTAGTTTCTTGCCATTGTAGAGTTGCTCCATGAGTATGTTCCTGGGCCTAGACCTGCCAGATGTGTTGAGCTATTTGCTAGAGAAGTGACCGCTGGATGCGTTTCTTGGGGGAATGAACCTCTTCACTTTCAGGACTCAAGATATTTTTCTGGGAAATTAGACGACTAACTCATCCCCATGAAAGCCTTTTTTTTGGGCGACATACAGATGTTGAACTCAGGGTATTCTGCATTTCTAAGATACAGCATTTCTAAGATACATTTGTTGATTATGATTTTCCCTTCAGCCAATAAAAAAACTTATGATACATATGGGCATTGGGATCAAGGCAAAAAAGAGCAGGATAACTAGATGTAAATATAGAACAGAAAACATGACAAGTTTTATTGTCCTGCCTTCCCCATTCAGTTAAACCATGATTTACTTTGAATAGGCTTATTGGCCGAAGGATTAGTAGAATCTTAAATGTTAATTGTGAATTGAATTATCTTGATGCATAAAATATATTGATATGTGTAGGAAGCTTTATCATTGCTTGAGAAATGTGATTATGAGATGCATACATTTCTGTGGAACTCAGGCGTGCTGTTAAGTAAATATGAAATTGTTGCTCAGATTGTAGGCAACTCAAAGCTAAAGCTATGGATGTTTGATTGATGGTTTACCTTCACCGTCAACATGGAGTTGTGTTTGTGTTTGAACAGAGAAACTTATATCAGAAGAACTCCACCTTAATTTCATGGTTAATTAGGATAAATATTTTGGTTTAGTAGACCAATTAAAAGAAAAAAGAAATACAGCTGCCGTGGACCTTTAGGAGGTATCTTAAGGGAGAACGACATTTTCCCACCCAAGGTTTAGTGAAACGGTACTTTTTTACTCGTCAAGTTTCAAAATGACACTTTCTCACCTTTCATTATGTTCTGTTAGTGTTTTATATTAATATCTTTAATATTTGATTTTATAATTTTTTATTATTTTATATCATGTCAACAATTCAGTTATCAATATATCCACTGTTAATATAAAATTACTGATATGTCCTCAACCATATATGAGAAAGTAAATTATCAATTTGTCCTTTCAATTTTTTTTTATTAAAAATAATGTTTTAAATGAAGTTACCATTGGATTTTTTTAAAATTTAAAACCCTTAAAATTGACATTAATATTTAAATACAAATAAAACTAAGTCATAACATTATTAATATAAAAAAAAAAAAAAAAGATGCAGATTGTAAAATTACAGTAGAATTAATAGAGAATTATAAGAAAATTTGTCAATTGAAACCCAATAAAAATAGAGAAAATACAAACAAAATAGGTTTCCACAAACTTTCTACCAAGACAAAAAACGGTAGTGTAGAATTAATAGAGAAGCAAAAGTATAAAACTAAGTAGCCACAAATTACAAAAATTACGAAGAGGAAGCTTTGCCTTATCAAATCAGGTGCTTAAATTTTATAATAATTTTTGGCGTTGATTACATTACACCCAACCTTGTCAACATAGTAAATATTTTTTCTCCTTCTAATAACTGCTTCCATAAGCTGGCCTGGAACTAATTTTTGCTGTCAAAACCGTAAATTCTTGGGATAATTCAATCTCCTTGCCTTCATGATGTCTCCATCTTTCTAACATGAGCTCTACATTTGAAATCATTGCTGGAATCATACCCTACGCAGAAAAATATACTGTTCTTTAATATTTTAGTTACTTTCAAAGAATTTGCATAGAAAGTGTGGTAGCCCAGCTTCCGAAGCTTAATCTATCTACTACAAAATTAATACCCATGAAAACATGATCACAATTTTCTTAAACTATCGTCATGCAACAACCATTGAATAAGTACTAGAAAATTTCCTTAAAATTTGTTAACATAGTATATTAAGATAAATGTACTTTTGTTGCATGCTTAACTGAAATCTCTTTAGAAGACAAAAGAATTAGTGGGTACTGAAATCAGAAAACTATATTTTTTGCTTGTGGATTTGGAACATAAAGGTTGCCATCCTTGCTGTTGTTGTACCTTGGCAATTGTTGATGCGGGGATGTAGTTGGCAATATGTAATGTTAGAATTTTAATTATATTAGAATTCTTTAATTGGATTGGTCCTACACTTTTAATATAAAGTGAATGGACGGTTGTGCATCTTGGACAGTTGTCTTTGATGGAAAGACAACTGCATTTATAAAGGAGATTTTACAGGTCCCCATTTGATGCAATTAATTCATTTTATTCCCAAAAACCATCGCTCTGAAAAATTACAGTCAGTGGAAGACTCTGTATTCTGAAGTGACATAAGCAAGAAGACTAAACAACAATTGCTATGGCTGGAGGTTTGTAAATTACTTCTACAATATTCTATGAGTATTTAACATGTTTATAATTGATTATATTATAAACTTTTATATGAATGTTGGAATATAAATGTTTTACATTTGGTATCAGAGCACTAATTTGAATCTCTGCCTAGCATGAAATTGATTGTTGCAAATTTGGAGAATATTGCATAAAATTGAGATTTTTCTAATTAAAACTCATACTGTAAATCAAGCATAACTTTTATTATAAATAGAATCTGTTTTTGATTTTGGTGTCATTGGAATCCTTGTTGAAAAAGCTTTCCAACGATATATTATTTGTCGAAAACGGAGTTATGGTTGTAAAGTTATGCTAGTTTAAAGTTTTAGTTAAAAATTGTCGTTTGGATATTTTTGGTAGCCATTTACGACACTGATTTGGGATGTCACCGACATAGGTCATATGTCCACATTCAAGTTTCCCCTCTAAAACGCCATAAAAATGGCCGGAATCGGGTTCTTAAAATCTGCATAAAATGGGTCAAAAGTTGCAGAAAAAGGGGTCAAGAAGAACCAACCCAATTGGGTAAGCAGGTCAAATTGACTCGACCAAGGATAAAACAGACCAAACTGACCCAATCAAAGTCAAAGGTCAAATCAAGTCAAATCGACCCGGTCAAACCAGCCTAGAAACCTGATGGGTCAACCCGACCCGGTCAACATGGTCAATGATTCAAATCGAGTCAACGAGTCAGTCAAGTCAACGGGTCAAACCGAGTCAAATGAACCAGGTAAAAGGTCAACCTGACCTGCTCAAACGGACCCGTGTTGACTTATGGAGCGTGTGAGCATGTGAAGGTGCACATGCTTGCATCCGACGCGTGGAGGCGGTGTGTACAAGCGTGTGTAGCCGTGTGCAGAAGCATGTTGCCTTCTAGAGGCGCGTGAAGAAGCAATGTTGCGTTTTGGAGGCGCGTGAAGGTGCGTGGGGATACGTGGCTGTGCGTGGTTTAGTCACGGTGGCACGTGGGAGTCAATGACAGTGCGTATGATGGTTTTTATGTCTTGTATTACTTTGTTATACATAAATAATGTATTGATTTATGTTATGTCGTATTATATGCAATAATTCATGTTATAACTATTTGATGTTTTATGATCGCATATATTTGATTAATTTAGTATAGCCATAGCATCTAAGTTATGATAATATATGCATTAAGTAATATTAATTATGATCATATTAAAGTTAATAACATCGTTTTGTAGTTAATCATATTAATATAATCATTTTACCCATAGGGAATGTTATATTTTCATGATTAATAAGGGATGAAATAAAAATTATTCTTATTTTTTAATTAGCCTAGAGGTATTATGAAATATTAATAATTTCTAGTTTCATCATTAAAGGATAATGAATCATAATATGTAATGTCCTTATCCACAGGGAGATTTTATGATATGTCGATTCATTTATAATTTATTATTTATTTTATATTGGCAAACTTATAATTGTTATTGATGGTTTGTGCCTCATAATATATTTAGTAACCATGTCTATTGATATACTTATAGTTGATCAAACTTTGATGATGGTTGAGGATAAGGTTCCTTATTTAAATGGTGATAACTACAAATCCTGGAGGGAGGTTGTCCTTCTTCATTTAGGGTGCATCGATCTTGACTATGCTCTTCGTAAGGAATAGCCATCTATACCTACGGATATTAGTTCTTAGGCTGAGATTGCTTTGTATGAACGGTGGGAGCAATCCAACCGTTTAAGCATGATATTTATCAAATCTCACATTACAAGTAGTATTCGTGGGTCGATACCAGAGTGTGAAAATGTCAAGGATCTGACGGATGCAATTCATGCTTAGTTTGAAACATCAGACAAGGCATTAGGTAGCACCCTAATGAGTAGATTGACATACATGAAGTTCACTGGTATTAAAGGAGTTCGTGAGCACATTATAAAAATGAGGGACATCGCTGTTTAGTTGAGATCCCTTCAGATGGTGATTAATGATGATTTCCTGGTGCATTATGTCCTGAACTCTCTATCATCTCATTATACTCCTTTCAAGATATCTTATAACACACAAAATGATAAATGGTCAATCAATGAGCTTTTGACCATGTGTGTTTAAGAGGAGAGATTGCTTCAGGAAGTGAATGAAACTGCACATCTGGTGAAAGGAAATGTCCAGTACACTTCAAACAAGAATAAGAAGTGGAAGGGAAAAGGCAAGTTGCATGAGCTTACGAGCAAAGGAAATAAGAACAACATCAAGTGTTTCTTCTGTAAAAAGAAGGGACACATGAAGAAGGATTGTCCTAAAAAAAAGGCATGACTTGACAAGAAAGGTAACCTCACATCTCTTGTGTGTTATGAATCTAATATGATTTGTGTTTCACATAATAATTGGTGGATTGATTCTGGTTCTACAATCCATGTTTCTAATACCATACAGAGTTTTCTAGATCAAAGGAACGTGTTGAAGCTATTGGAACATTTAGACTTATTTTAAGCACTAATTATATTTTGAATTTGGAACGAACCTTTTATATTCCTAGTTTTTCTAGGAATTTAATTTCAGTTTCTAAACTTGTACCTTGTGGATACTCTATCAACTTTTATGGTAGTTCTTTTAATTTAATTAAGAACTCATCTATTGTTGGAAATGGTATTATGGTTGATGGTTTGTTTAAAATTCATTTAAGTGATGTTGGTATTAAACATACTATTATGAATAAAAACTCTTCTTTTTTTGTGGCATAGGAGATTAGGAGACATCTCCATTGATAGGATTAAAAGGTTGGTAAATGCTAGAGTTCTTGAAACTCTTGACTTTACTGACTTTGATACTTGTGTAGATTGCATTAAGGGAAAACAGACTAACAAATCCAAGAAGGGTGCTAGGAAGAGTTCTGAACTTTTAGAGATCATACATACACATATTTGTTGCCCTGACATGAGCTTTAGTGGTCAAAAATATTTTATCACCTTTATTGATGATCACTCACGATATATGTATCTTTATTTGCTTTATCACAAGGATGAAGCGTTTGATGCTTTCAAAACATATAAAACAGAAGTAGAGAAATAATGTGAAAAACAAATTAAGATTGTGAGATCTGATAGAGGTGGTGAATATTATGGTAAATACATTGGTACAGGACAAGCACTTGGTCCATTTGCTAAATTTCTTCAAGAGCAAGGTATTGTTGCTCAATACACATTGCCTGGCACACCATCTTAAAATGGTGTGGCAGAATAGAGAAATAGAACATTAATGGATATCGTACGGAGTATGCTGAGTAACTCCAAACTTCCTCATTCTCTGTGGATTGAAGCTCTCAAAACTGCAACATATATATTAAACCGAGTTCCAACTAAAGCGGTTCCCAAAATGCCATTCGAGTTATGGAAAGGTTGGAAACCAAGTTTAAGTCATTTACGTGTCTGGGGTTGCCCAGTTGAAGTTAGAGTTTATAATCCACAAGAATGGAAGTTAGATCCTAGGACTATTAGTGCATATTTTATTGGATATACGGAAAAATGCAAGGGATATAAGTTATATTGTCCGAACCATTCCAGTAGAGTTGTTGAATCAAGAAATGCCAAATTTCTTGAAAATGACGTGGTCAGTGGGAGTGATCAAATCAGAGACTTAGTCCCTGAGAAAATTGATGTTTCAGATAATGCTCCTACATCAAGTAAAAGATTGGTTGTTCATCTAAACAGGGTGAACAATGAGGAACCACTCAATCAAAGTCCACGTCCTGATGAGATTGTTTTAGAAGATCATTTTGAACAACCTCCGCTATAGGAAGAACAACCAGTTGTGCAATAGTCTCAACAAGAGACTGTTGATACAACATTAAGAAGATCTACTAGAATAAAGAAATCAGCAATTCCTACTGATTATGAAGTATATATGCAAGAGTTTGACTGTGACATAGGTGTTGAGGATGACTCATACACATTTTTACAAGTTATGGACAGTAGTAAATCTGAGTTGTGATATAATGTTATGATTGACGAGATGAATTCTATGGCGGATAATAAAGTTTAGGACCTTGTTGAGTTGCCTACTAGAAAGAAACCTATTGGTTGTAAATGGGTATTTAAAACCAAAAGGGATTCATTAGGCAACATTGAGAGATACAAGGTCTGGCTTGTTGCCAAGGGGTTCACGCAAAGGGAAGGGCTAGATTATAAAGAAACGTTTTCTCCAATTTCTTAAAAGGATTCATTTCGCATCATAATGGCTTTAGTTTCTCGTTTCAATTTAAATTTACATCAAATGGATGTGAAAACAACTTTCCTCAATGGAGATTTGGAGAAAGAAGTTTATATGAAACAACCTGATGGGTTCATTTCAACTGATGGTGAGCATTTGTTTTGCAAGCTTAAGAAGTCCATTTATGGACTTAAACAAGCCTCCCGACAGTGGTATTTAAGATTTCACACTGTTATCTCTTCATTTGATTTTGTAGAGAATGTCATGGATCATTGTATATACCACAAAGTCAGTGAGAGTAAGATCATCTTTCTTGTGTTATACGTAGATGAGATTCTACTTGCAACCAATGATTTGGGATTGATACACGAGGTGAAATAATTTCTCTCTCAACATTTTAGTATGAAGGATATGGGTGAGGCGTCTTATGTCATTGGCATTAAGATTCATAGGGATAGGTCTCAACATGTTTTGAGACTATCTCAGAAAGCCTATATTAATTAAATTCTTGAGAGATTTAGAATGAAGGATTGTTCACCCAGTGTTGCACCCATTGTTAAGGGTGACAGGTTCAATCTGAACCAATGTCCTACACTTGAGATTGAAAAGGAACAAATGAAAACTATTCCTTATGCTTCAGCTATTGGAAGCCTAATGTATGCTCAAGTCTGTACTAGACCTTACATTACTTTTGCAGTTGGCATGTTAGGAAGATATCAAAGTAATTCAGGTTTGGATCATTGGAGAGCTGCAAAGAAGGTCATGAGGTATTTTCAAGGAACTAAAGGTTTCATGCTTACTTATAGACGGTCTAACATTTTAGAAGTTGTCGGATATTCAGACTCAGACTTCGCTGGCTGTGTTGATTCTCGGAAATCAACATCTGGATATGTTTTTATGCTCGCCAGAGGTGCTATATATTGGAGAAGTGTCAAACAATCTTTGGTTGCCACTTCTACCATGGAAGCTGAGTTTGTTTCCTGTTTTGAGGCCACTACACAGGGTATTTGGTTGAGAAGTTTCATTTCTGAGCTTGGAGTTGTTGAGTCTATCTCTAGGCCAATAAGGTCGTATTGTGACAATTCAACTGCTGTATTCTTTGCTAAGAATTATAAGAGTGGAAGTTGAAATAAACACATTGATATTAAGTACTTAGCAATAAGGGAACACATTAAAGCCAAAGAAGTGCTCATTGAACACATACTTATCGAACAGATGATTGCTTAGCCTCTTAACAAAAGGTATGCCACTAAAGACGTTCAAGGATCATGTAGTTCAAATGGGACTACATCCCGCTTTATCACTATGAGAGGTAATACTTTCATTCTCCGAAACTTGGTAATTTAGTTTGTTTTCTCGTTTAAGTTGTATACATTTTGATTGGAGACAAACAAACATTCTGGAGGACTTGAAACAAACATTTGAGGTTTGTTCATAAAGTAATATTCCACATTTAAGCGTTTATTTAGAAAGAGAAAAATTGCATAGTAATACATGAAAGGTAATATTTGTTTAAAAAGGACTTACCGCTATGATTCATGTAATTTTTATTTTTCTGATTAAACATACAGAATATACAACTCCTACGTTGTGGATTACATAATAAAAGTTTGGACCAAATGGTAGAATGTTAGAATTTTAATTATATTAGAATTCTTTAATTGGATTGGTCCTACACTTTTAATATAAAGTGAATGGGCGATTGTGTCTCTTGGGCAGTTGTCTTTGATGGAAAAACAACTGCATTTATAAAGGAGATTTTACAGGTCCCCATTTGACGCAATTAATTCATTTTATTCCCAAAAACCATCGCTCTGAAAAATTGCAGTAAGTGGAAGACTTTGTATTCTGAAGTGACATAAGCAAGAAGACTAAACAACAATTGCTATGATTAGAGGTTTGTAAATTACTTCCGCAATATTCCATGAGTATTTAACATTTTTATAATTGATTATATTATGAACTTTTATATGAATGTGGGAATATAAATGTTTTACAGGTGAGGCCAAGGATTGTAGTCATCAGCATAAGAAACTAGAGAAGAGACAAGAAAAAAAAGTGTAGTCATCAGAATTCCTAAAACAGCAGCTAGAATTGTAAAACTACTCCAGAACTAAACCAATTTTTTATATGCAACCATGTAATTTTCAAAATGACCAACTGCGTGAGCATATCAACCTGAAGCAATTAATTACTTAACAAAAAACACCAACCTTGTAGCAGATTCACCATTTGATTCTTCAGCAACACCAACTGCTTGAAATATGGATCCAAAATCCCTCAGAATCATGCTCATAGACAAGGACATGTAGAAGGCCATCAAAGCAACGACCAACAAGCTCAACAACATTATCATATGGCTTGCCTCTAAATCAATACAACTCATAAGTACTATTTTATTATGTCAGCCGCCATAATCCTACAATAAACTTTCTCTTACAAGTGGAATAAGAACTACTCATACCTTAACCATGTCTTTTAAATAAGGAAAATTCATTAAGCAAAACAAGGTGCGCAACCAAAACAACAAAGAACAAACATCAGACATCAGATTTATTAAGAAGAATAGAACAAAATAAAAGCTTTAAGTGACCTCCTCAATACCACCACGAGAAGTAACCTCCACAAAGAGCCATTACAAATCTAACTCCTTTCCTCCAATAATGGGGATTCTACAATCACAGTTACATTGACAACAAATTATCAATAGAGGCCAACAATCTGCCAAAACATTTTAAATCTAAACTAAAGAAAAAAAAAAAAACCTGCAATAAGAAAGTTGGAATTAATATCTTGATCTCTCATGTTGGGCATCAGAAGAAAGAATAAACATATGAAATCTTGGTGATATATGGTTGTCTCAATTATCAACAGCAAAAAACTTACAACAATCAGCAAGCCAACTGATATTTATACATCATCATCATCATCATCATTATTATTATTATTATTAATCTTTTTCAAGGAGCAAGTACTAATTCTTCTTAATTTCGCGTACAGTTATGGCTCAACATGTTGGTCCTTGAAAACTAAAGCAATTCAAGAGCCAACCTTCTAATTATTCATCCTTAAAGCAACTGCATCGTTTTCACTTTATCAATCTGCTAGTTTGTGATATGAAGGAGATGAGATGAAATTCAACAGCACTTCCTTTAAATTAGAGTGTAATCTGACTTTGCCAAATTGAAGTTTTACAAAAAAATTCATTTCTGTAATTCCATTATGTAATGGTACAATAGGTCATAAAGAGCAAATGTTTAAAATAACACAAGAACAAAACAAAAAACACGCAAGAACTTTTCTTAACCTAAAACAAAAACAACAACATAAAAAGATTACTCAAGTCGTCGTCGTCAATATTTTTCTCTCACTCGCTGCTTTCTCACCTTTTTTTTCTTAGTCGTTGTCAATCACCAACCTTGAGTCCCCAGTCGCTTCAGTATCATAGAACACGAAGAACCCACTATTGGCTTTTTGTTAGTCGCCATCCCAAAGTCGCCAATCACCAGAATTTTCCTGCATTCAAACCACTCCCATTATCAATCAACAACACAGGAACTATCTCAGCCCAATAAGACACCAAAATAGAAAGCCACTACCTTTGCTATGTCCTTGTCATTTATAGGTCAGCCAAAGATGGAAAAGAAGTCGATATGGTGTATCCTTACTGGGGACGATGAGGAGATTTGTTGATCACACGCCCAAAAACCCTAAGTCGTCAGTCGCTTTACATCAAGAGAGCAAGAAGAGGGGGAAAAGACAGCCAACTCTTCGTTCTCCCTTCTTTTTTTTTATTCAAAGTCAAAGTTCAGTGAGACGTGGCAACCATTCAGCGACATGACCATGATTGAAAATTTTTAATTTTTAATTTCTGCAGCTGACGTAAATTGACCCTATTACCCTTTTTTATAAGAGAAAATGCTAACATAATATGACGAAATGTGAGAAAGTGCCATTTTGAAATTTGGTGAATGAGAAAGTGTCATTTCCTTAAACCTTCGGTGGAAAAATGTCATTCTCCTATATCTTAAATAGAATAATGTTGAGCAAACTAACGCTTTACACCGAAATGTTAAACCGAACGACTTGTCACCTGAGTTAGATAAGTCACGTAGCACGTTAAGTAATATTTCGTGAATGAATGATTGTCCATCAAATATAAACGACTGTCCATTTTTATTGGATGAGAGTCCACCTATAAGGATGTCTGTTCATAGTTAAAATTAAAAAAATATGATAACAAAAATCATGGATGCCCATCCATATATTATAAACGAGCGTCCATACTTAATGGACGAACGTCCTTATTAGATGGACGCCCGTCCATTTCTGTCCATTAAATAGGGACTCTACTCTACAACAGAATCTCCTCTTTCCCGCAATGTTCCTTCTATTTTCTTCTTCTAAACTCCTATTTCTATTTACTTTCAAATACTAACACAAAATAAAATAGAAGTTCATCACTTGAACTACATACATCAATGTAGTCAAAGGGTCCGCCATTTGCAATAAAAAATAAAGTAAAGAAACATATACCATGCATACATCAATGCAGGCAAGGGGTCTACCATCTGCAATAATAAAAAATAAAGTAAAGAAACATGTACCATGAAGGTTCACAGACTTTGGTACAAGAATGAGATTACTTTTGTTTTTAATTGAAACAATGGACATACATCTATCTAATAGGGTCGCTTGTCTGTTAAGTAGGGATGTCCGTCCATAATATATGGTCAGACGTCCATGATTTTTGTTATCAAATTTTTTTAATTTAAACTATAGACGGCCATCCATATTTGATAGACGGTCGTTCATTTACGAAATATTACTTAACGTGCTACGTGGTTCGTCTGACTCATGTGACACATCGTTCGATTTAACATTTCGGTGCAAAGCGTCAGTGTTTGTAGCATTATTCATCTTAAATATTAGAAGAGAAACCAAAATGCCACCAAGGGTAGAGTCTTATCCTTCCAGAATAAAAACTAAAGAAAAGAATCTCTAGATGTCTCGCTATTTTAAACTTGTACTCATTTCCAAGTTAATGAAAGTTAATTCTAATAAATTACAAGTAACATAACCTTAGTTGCTTCATAAGAGTGGAGAATGTATAACGAAAGAGTTAATCAAAATAAGATTTCAATCAAAATATCAACAAGTCGTTGTAGTATAGTGGTGAGTATTCCCGCCTGTCACGCGGGTGACCCGGGTTCGATCCCCGGCAACGGCGAATTTTTTTTTCCCTCTTTCTTTTTTTATTTTTATTTTTAATTTTGATTATCTCTTTTTCATATTTGATTTTGATTACGGTATTAAGATCTGTCATATTTATTAAAAATGATTGTTCTGATATTACCAAGAGTATTAACCAAACCAAGATGTATCAGTATTAATCACAACTACCAGTACTGCCACGTCAGCATCGTAAACACTACCACCGCAATCTCCATAGCCGCCGCCACCACCACCTCCCCATTTTCCGAAATGTTTCATTTGTTTTTGGAAACATTCTGATTAAAAAGCTAAAAAATTTGATGGCAAACGTATCAGGTTTTGAATCAATCCATGGAAAAACTCAACCATTTTTAATCCTTTTAATTTTTTTTTGCTGCTAGGAAAAAAATGAAAACCACTCCCAATGTCTCTTCCGTTGATTCTGAAATCGATTTGCTGCTTTCTAAGTGTGGTCCACTTCAAGTTTCGTAGTGCTTTTCATGGGAAAACCTGGTCATATGATTCATTTAATTTGATCTTTATGTTTATATTTAATTGCAATTTGGCCCGTATTCATATTATTCCATTTTAAATAAATTAAAAGGTGTTGATTTATAAGTGGCTTGTGGTAGCACTTGAACAATATGAAATGTTACTATATCGGTAGGCTAAATTTTATTAACAAATAAATAGATATTAATGAAAAATAAATGAAAAGATTTTTATATCACAAATCCTTACAAATTCAAGAGAGTTAAGATCCTTACAAGTTCCAGAGAGCTCAAATCATTAGAGGATTCTAATTCCTTTGAGTTATACACGCTTCATGCATATGAATCTTTAACAACATTTTTTAGAATATCAAGCATTAGGCAAAACTAAATATCAAATATTTTATAGAGTTAATGATATTAATCCCTCCAATGTATGATATAATAACAAAAATCTCTCTGAGATTTCGGAAATAACATAAATCCCCCTAGCATTAAGTTTTATGTATTAAAATAAACATTAAGAAGGCAATGTGGTAATATTTACTAACTCATAATAGTATAAATTTTACCAACTCATTAACAGTTTATTAACGACAGGAGAAATTTTGTTTTTTCGGAAACTGCAAGGGAATTTTTATTATAATATCATATCTCAAGAGGATTAATGTCATTAACTCTATTTTATATTGTTATACTAGTTCAAAGAATGATATAAAGAAAATACCATACTAGCATAGATGGAAATGATTGATATAAACACTAACTAGTTACAAGCCATAACAATCCTTAAAGGATAGTTAGAAACAAAAGAAAATAGCAGTCAAGAATACATGTTTGAATTACATCTATGCTTAAAAATCGCATTCATCAACAAACTACCATTCTGAATATCCGAGTTTTGATATAGTAATTTCTTGAAAGGACTTTTCCATTGGTTTTCCGGTAAGCAATTTTTTACAGATACATTGCATTGTAGGTCGAGATTCGGGTTTAGAATGCAAGCATGCAAATGCTATAGCAGAAACAAGCACAATATTCTGCACATCCTTTTTATCAACTGGTGGTAGAAGACGTGGGTCTAAAAGATCAATTAGCATTCGATGTTGAGTAGATGGAAATGATAATGATGAAAGAAGATCTCTCGGATGTGTGCCCATTAATACTTCCAGTATCAGAACGCCAAAACTATAAACGTCACATTTCTCCGTCACAATCATGGTGTAGGCAAGTTCTACCAAAAAAATTAAAGACTTTAGATGAAGCAAGAAAATTCCTTAATTTAAAAATCGAAAAGTAATATATAGTTATTTGTGATTGCATAATTGATTAGAGTGATTAAGTAATTGGTAATATACAAATCAATGTTCTAAAATTCGAAAGGACCACTACTAATTCAACCAGGAACCGAGGCCTTCACTAGGCCAGGTTACCATTTTAACCGTTCATGGCAAACCCTAGAAATTAGAACGACGATCGACGAATAATTGGTGGTTGGGATATTAAGGGTTTTGAAGAAGAAGAGTCGATGAGTCGAATAGTGGCGATGAAGGTGATTTTCGGTGAGTGAAACAACCAAAAATTGAAAAAATCGACCAACTCTGTTGTCAACGATTGGCGAGGTGAATGAGGGTGGCGTGAGATGAGTTTTGGTCAGGAGGTTGAGGGGAGAGTTTTCGTGGTGATGGGGTGTGTCGTCAACCTTGAAAAAGGCCCTACTAGGCTTGGGTTGTCATCGTCGATGATGTAATTTGGGGTGTTTTTATAGGATTTCAAACTTGTAGGGACTTATAAAATTTTAGGGGGTTTTTTGCCATATTTCAAACTTTTAGACATGCTGACATCACCGGTTTGACCTATCGGTCAAAACGGTTCAATTGGTCAACTTGAGACTTGACACTTTGTCGGGTTTCACCCCAGACCAGGTTTTAAAACCTTGATACAAATTATCATTATTATGTTAATTAGAAAGGGAATAAAAATTGGTAAAGTACGTGTATATAATCTTTTTAATTTAGCTTAAATGATTTAGTATGTTGTGAGAAATGATAAATTCAATCATTGAATCTCTAAAACAACTTATTTGAGAGATTCATACAATTGATCATGCACACTAAAAATGAAGCTGGTAAGAAGTATTTAAAGAAAAATTTATGATTAGAGCCTAAAGGAATCACCTGGAGCTATATATCCATATGTGCCAGCCATCATCGTTCTATTGGATGAGTCAAAATTTAGAAGTCGAGCCAAACCAAAGTCAGCAACGGATGTCTCTAATTCCGAGTTCAATAGAATGTTGTTGCTTGATATATCACGGTGAACAACCGGTGGAACGCAGTCATGATGTAAGTAAGACAACGCATGTGCCACACTCTTGATAATGTTCACTCTCTTCTTCCAATCCAACTCAGTAACTTCTTCATCGTTGCGCAACACACAGAACAAACTACCTCTCTCCATGTACTCATAAATAAAAAACATGCATCTTCTATGCAAACAAAAACCATAAAGTTTGACAATGTTTCGATGTCGTATTTGAGACAGTAAATGAGACTCATTTTGGAAATTGTTGAAGAAACATAACTCTGAACGGTGAAGTTTCTTCACAGCAACTACTTTGCCACCAGATAACTCTGCTTTGTAAACGCTGCCATAACCTCCGGTGCCAATGCAATACTTGATGTCAAAATCCTCAGTTGCTTTAATTATGTCCTCAAACAGAATTCTACCATCATAATTCCATATTTTGAACACATCTTCGTAACTGGTTGATATCATCTGGAGTTCAGCTTTTTTATTCTTGCGCTTAAGGAGAAAAAAGTACCCAAAAATTAGAGAGAGAATTATGGTAGAAGACACAAAAACTATAATGAAGAAAATGAGGGGATATGCCCTGAAGTAATTGTTTTTTGTAGGTGGAGCTGGACCGAGGTCGGAGAAATGATCATCATAGTTCATGATAACTCAGTCTAAATTAACTATTGTCGCCACAGCCTCGAGTATTTTTTTCTTAAATGATCTTCTTAACTTGTAACTTGGATCTTCAAAAGCAGCAGTAGAGATTAAAATATTTGATTTTCCAACTACTGGGTCCCATTCACACTACAATTTCAATGGCCAAAGTCTTCTGGGATGGTTCTTGAGCATCGTCGTTACTCACATGTCCACAAGAAAAATCGCCCCAAGTAGGGATTACTGGTCTTCTGGTCTATTTTCCACATACGTGTTGACTTTAAGTCCACGCCAACTCCCAACGCATGGGGCAATTAAACTTTGGGTCATCATCCTGATCTCCTCTCAGATTTGGAATTAAACGTGACAACCCATAAATATAAAATAGCATGCTTCATCCATTCTCCCAATAAATAACAAATAAGGCTATAAAGAAGCATTGAAAAAGAATTTTAAATTATCAGTTAATTTTTTTTTTCTCATTTATCTATAACATTAAATATAATTTGTACTTTCTAAATTTATTAGTGACGTGTTAGTTTATTGTATTGCTGATTTCATATCACCGTTGTACTAAAAACTTTCTCAAAGAACACAGTAAAGATAATGAATCATTAATTCGGATACAATAAAAAATAAAATAAAAATTAGATAGCCATTCTTTTGCTTATTATGAAATTTTCTACCTATTTGTCATATAATTGCTCCCGTATATTTGTTTCATGTTTACATGTTAACAAGGCATGAAATTGTTTTTAAAAAGCCTAAACAGAGCACAATTTAATGGGCACACCCGGCACCCCTGGTTCAAACTGAAGTTTAATTGTGTTTGAGTCTAGCACTTGGATATGAAAACCTTTATCAAAACTTCATCTTCAATTTATCATAATAAGGATAATTATTTTGGTTGAGTAATGGCATGGAGTTTTGTAAGTAAATAATCTACCCTATGTATTTTATATAAGAGAAACCAAAACATTAAAATAAGTATATTAAAAGAAAACAAATAATATACTGAAAAAGAAACGTATGCCTATGATGTATTGTTATTTTTCATAACACTAATTCTTAAGTTAATTACAATTAAGTATAAATTAAATTAACAAGTTGTTCTAGTATAGTTAGGGGTGAGCAAATTTTTAGGGTAGAACCAGAATTGATGGGTACTCAGGGTGTAGGTTTCGGTTCCAAATTTGGTGGAAAAGAAACTATGCGGGTTTAGGTCAGATTCCACCATTTCAAAAACCAGACCAAGAATCGAGAACCAAAACCGAAATGAAGGTTTGGATCCCAGCGTGGAACCGATGGGTATCTAGGATGTATTTATAATTTCTATAAATAGTTGGGGGTGCATTTGTTATTTTTGCAAACATGAGGGGTGTATTGTAATTTTATGTGAACAGTGTCGGGTACCTAGACTCGGAACCTATGGTACAAATTGCGCTTCCAGGAATTTAGGAATCGAAGCTGACCACCGCTTCCAGTTCCAGTTCCTAAATCCTAGGAACCGTCGGGTCTGGGTTTGGGTCCAGTTCCAAGGGATTGGGTCGGGTACTCGAACCCGCTTATGCCTAAGTATATATAGTGATCAGTATTTCTGCCTTTCACGTGGATGACCGTGTTTGATCCTGAATAACGGCAAGTTTTTTTAATATTTATTTTTAAATATCTATAATTCTTTACTTTTAGATATTTTGACATGTTTTATTATTTATTTTTAGATATATATAATTATTTATTTTCAAAACAATTCTTTATCTTTATTTTGATTAATAAGACTTATAATTATAAGCTAAGGCCATGTTTACTTCTAAGAATAAACAAGACAATGGAATTAGGACTCCTAATTTCCTTCTTTACCTATTGGAATTGAGTATAGAATTGGAATCCCATGCATAATCAATTTCAAAACAACATAGGAAATCATTCCTCAAAATTTTGTAAGGAATTCTCGTTCTTAAGGTAGGGAATCCAATGAATTTACTTTTTTTACCCTATTTTGAATTTAAATTTCTATTTTATATTTTAAAGTTTTTTATTAGTACGTTTATTAGTTTATAATTTAGTGATTATTAAAATAGGATTATGTAAATGTTGGCATGAGATGAATAGTTGACTGGAGTTGATCATCATTGACCAATGTTGAATGGTCATTAACCGCTGTTGACTACCATTAATCGAATTTTACCGGCCATTGACCACTATTGATCGGCATTGGCCAAGCCGTTGACCACTATTGACTAGCATTGGCCAGGCTATTGACTGCCATTGATGGTTGTTGACCAATGTTGACTAGCCACTAAATTTTGATTTTTTAGTTAGAATAACTATTGTGAGGTAAAAAATAAAAAATTCAAATATAGTATTAAAATTTTATATTATTATTTACATAATTAGTTATTTAATGTTATTTTCATAATTAGGTTTTTTATTTAAAAATATAATAATAAGTTTTAACTTTTATGAAATACTTTAATGGTGAGGGTACTTTTGTTCACTATCTACACATTTGATTCCATTCCTCATTATTTCATCTTATAAATAAACAATAGAATCATATTGCATTCCATTCTTGATTCATTATTTGAATATGTATCAATTTCCATTTCCCTTTCCGTTCCAATACAATTCCAAAAAAATAAACATTAATGGAGATCATTAGAAATCTCTTTGTGATTAACACTGACTTAATCTTAGTTAGTTGAACTATCATTCAAAGTGTAAATATTCAAATATATTTGAATTAGTCCTAGGATATTATTCGACTTAGTCTTAGGATATCTGATCTCAATGTTGTATATATACGGAGCTTATCAATGAAGAAAGTGTGCCATTTCATTTCAACCTTCTTCTCTGTTATGGTATCAAAGCTAACTGGTCTGATTCCTCCACTGATTTTTTTTAGTTTTTCGCCATTTTCTTGTTGCCTAGTTCAGTCTAATCACTTCTAGTTTTCAACCACTCTTTTTCATCATCTCCAGCTGTTAGAATGACAACAAACATTACCAGCAGCAATCCCTCAGCCTCTACCACCATTCACAACACCAATGACTCCCACAAAACACTCATCAACATCAACATTGCAACTCAAGTTCCTCTCAAACTTACAAGCAACAACTACGTTTCTTGGAAGGTACAGTTCCACACTCTCTTCATTGGTTATGACCTTCTCGGTTATATTGATGGTTCAAAACCATGTCCAGTAGCACCACCACCCAAAATGACACCACCACACCAAATCTAGACTATACTATCTAGATTCGACAAGACCAACTGATTCGCAATGCCATCAACGACTCTCTATCTCCAACTATAATTCCATTCGTTGCTCAACCCAAAACCTTTTGGGAAGCCTGGATAATCCTAGCTAATACATATGCAAAGCCTCTCGTGGATGTATCAAACAAGTAAAAGCCAATTCAAGAAGTTTACCAAGGGACCACACGACATCACCAAATTTCTTCAAACTATCAAAGCTTGCGCAGATGAACTCACTCTCCTCGGAGCTTCGATTGACACTGAAGATCTCACTTAGAAAATTCTAGATGACCTCGGCGATGATTACAAGGAGTTGGTGTGCACCATTCAAGCCAGAGATACTCCCATTGCCTTTGACGAACTCCATGAGAAATTACTCAATTTTGAGGCATCCCTTCACGAAGCAAAACATGAGCCATCCTATTTCCCAGCTACAGTTAATCCGGCAACTCGCACCTCCACAGGTTGGAACCTGTCGTCTAACTCAGGTAACAACACCATGAGTTGGCGTCTGTCGGCCAACTTTGCCAATCACCCTCTCGCGTTGATAAACGCTGGGCCAAATTCAACTCAGGGAGATCGTCCTCCCCTTTATCCATATCTTGGTCTTTGTCAAATTTGCAGGACTCGAGGTCACACTATAAAGAAATGTCCATCTTTCTGCTTAGTACTAATTCAATCGTCCAACAACTCCAATTCGTCAACTACCACCACACAATCATGGCAGCCACAAGCTCAATTTGCTGCCAATCCTACCAACACTCCGTCGTGGCTCTTGGATAGTGGTGCTTCTCACCATATCACTTCCAATTTGAGCATCCTATCACTTCATGCACCATACATCGACACCGACGACATCATGATCAGAGATGGCTCGGATCTTTCTATCACTCATACTGGTTCCATTTCTCTTAAAACTCCTCAAACAACTTTTACCTTAAATAATGTTCTTTGTGTACTAAGCATGAAAAAGAATTTGATATCAATCTCTGAATTTTGTAACTCAAATAATGTTTTAATTGAATTCTTACCATCTTCATTTTTTATGAAGGAACTTCACATCAGGGCAACATTGTTGAAGGGACACACTTAAGATGGTGATTATGAGTGGCTGGTATCCACACCTTTGCTTGGTTTTTCTAGTATTAAAACCACCTCATCTGAGTGGCATCATAGATTAAGACATTCTTCTTTTCCAACTTTAAAGCATATTGTTTCTAGCTATCACTTAAGTTTATCTTCTTCCATGTCATTTGAATTTTCATGTAATGTATGTCATTGCAATCAAAGTCATAAATTGTCCTTTTCCCAATCCACTCTTGTCTCCTCTTAGCTATTTGAAATCATTTTCTCCGATGTCTGGACTTCCTCGGTTATTTCATATGATGGATTTAAATACCATGTCTTTTTTATTGAAAATTTCACTAAGTATTATGCCTTTATCCTCTCAAACACAAATCTGAAGTCAAAGATATATTCATCAGCTTTAAATCCATAGTGGAAAAACACTTCAACAAAAATATCACTACACTTTACTCTGATAATGGTGGAGAATATACCACTCTTGCCAGTTTTCTTGCCACTAATGGTATATCTCATCTCACTACTCCACCTCACACACCTAAGCACAATGGTTTTTTCTGAATGATGTCATCTTCACATTGTCGAAATCGGTCTCACTTTACTCACTCATGCTTCTCTCCCTCTAATTTGTTGGTCTCATGCCTTTACCACTATCATTTATCTCATTAATCGCATGCCTACTCCCACACTAAATCTCTCCTCTCCCTATGAAAGAATTTTTCACAATGCTCCAAATTATTTCAAACTACGAGTCTTTGGTTGTCTATGTTACCCTTGGCTCAGACCCTATACCTCTCACAAAATAGAATCATGTTCCACACCTTGTGTCTTTCTTGGGTATTCCTTAACCCATAGTGCTTACTTATGTCTAGACCCATCAATTTCTAAAATCTATGTGTCATAGCATGTCAAGTTTATTGAGTCAATTTTTCCCTTCACATCTCTCTTTAGTCAATTCTCTCGTCCTCAACCCAATACCATTATCACTTGGATTCCACCACCGATTAAAATTCCTTCTACTATTGTGATATCACCACTCATTATGCCATCTAAAGTTGAAGCTGCCTAGCCGCCCCATTGTGCCGTTCCATCCATAACCACCTTGGTCGACTCTTCACCAACTACAACCTCTACTCAGACTCAACCTACTTCCAACGAGCCAATAACCCACTAACACCCCAACCACCTCCTATTCACTCTATGACCACCTGAGCTAGAAATAACATTCATAAACCAATCCAAAAGTTAAATCTCAATACACAACTCTCCCTATCCAATGACCTGGAACCAACCATTGTGAGCCATGCACTCAAAGATCCAAAATGGCGTCGGGCCATGTCTAAAGAATATGATGCTTTTGTTTCCAATGGAACCGAGGAGCTAGTACCTCTTGACTCTCGTCACAATGTTATTAGTTGTAAGTGGATTTTTTGAACTAAGCGTAATTCTGACAGTTCCATTAACATGTTTAAAGCTTGCTTAGTTGCAAAAGGCTTTCATCAATATCTGGGAGTTGACTATCATAACACTTTTAGTCTCATGGTCAAACCCATAACTATTTGTGTTGTTCTTACACTTGCTGTAAGTCATGGGTGGTCTCTTCAGCAACTAGATATCAACAATGCCTTTCTCCAAAGGCATCTCTTAGAAGTTATATATATGACTCAACCACCAAGTTTTGTTGATCCATATCATCCTTCTTATGTTTGTCAACTTCAGAAAGCCATTTGTGGGCTCAAGCAAGCTCCTCACACTTGGTATCATGAACTTTGCACATTTCTTATTGAATCTGGTTTCAAGAATTCTCATGCTGATACATCTCTTTTTGTACTTAACATTGAAGGCCACATCACGTGTCTCCTCATTTATGTTGATGACTTAATTATCATTGGAGATAATGATGAGTTAGTCAATCGATTTGTGACTCTTCTTGCTCACCGGTTTTCTCTCAAGGATCTCAGGTTGCTTTCTAATTTCTTAGGTGTGGAAGTTGTTCCAAATAAGCATGGCTTGCTTCTTTCTCAACGACATTACATCTTGGATATTCTAGCTCGAACAAATATGATAGATGCAAAATCAATTCTCACGCCTATGCTGACCAGTCCTTCTCTTATACTAAACTTTGGTTCTTCCTTGTCTAATCCTACTGAGTATTGAGCTGTAGTTGGTAGTCTCCAATATTTTTTACTTACACGACCTGACATTGCCTTTGCGGTTAATAAGCTCTCTTAATAGATGCATCAGCCGACAACTAAACATTGGGTCTTTTTCAAACGTCTCTTATGTCATCTTTGTGGTACGATGAATGATGGCTTGCAACTTTATCGTGATTCAACTTTGCCATTAAATGCCTTTTTTTTATTCTGATTGGGCCGACAACAAGGACGACTTCTCCTCTACAAGTGCTTATTTGGTGTATCTTGAAAGAACTCCAATTTCATGGAGTTCTAAGAAGCAACACACAGTTGCTCGCTCATCCACTAAAGCTAAGTATCGTTCGGTTGCTTCCACTACTGCAAAGCTCAACTGGGTATGTTATCTTTTGAATGATCTTGCTGTTAAGCTTGCTCATTGTCTGGTGATTTATTGTGATAATATTGGGACGACTCAACTTTGCTCAAATCCTGTGTTTCATTCACGTATGAAGCATGTCACAATTGATTTTCATTTCATTTGGGATTAGGTCCAAAATGGATCACTTCGTGTGACGCATGTCTCTTCTGAAGATCAACTTGTAGATGCCCTTACCAAGCCTCTTCCAAGGGCTCGGTTTTTATCTCTCAAGTTCAAGATTGTACTCTTTTCTCAAGCTCCATCTTGAGGGGGCATAATAGAGATCATTAGAGATCTCCTTGTGATTAACACCGACTTAGTCTTAGTTAGTTGAGCTATCATTCACAGTGAAAATATTCAAATATATTTGAATTAGTCCTAGGATATTATCTAACTTAGTCTTAGGATATCTGATCTCAATATTGTATATATATAGAGCTTATCAATGTAGAAAGTGTGTCATTTCATTTCAACATTCTTCTCTATTAAACATGACCCAAATAATTGTGAGTTATAATTTAATTGAGTGTTACTGAAACAGTTGCTGGTGAGATTATGTATAAATAATAGTCCATTTTGCATAAACCAACTTAATCTCTTGTCTCTTCAATACTATTTAAGTTGAGGGAAGAAAGTGTTACGGAATATTTGGTCAAACACACAACCAATAGTTTTTATTTGAATACTCAACGAAGGAACAATAAAGAAGAAATAGAGAAGAAACACAAGATTTATGTGGTTCAACAATATGTCTACATCCATAGGACATAACACATAAATATTTACTTCACTAGAACAAGAGACAAATACAATATCGGGGATCTATCTCTACGGAGGAACTACCCACAACCACTTAATCAAGTAATTACAAAAGACCAAATACATCACCTATATATATATGGTATTTTATATATAAAGTTGAATACCCATATGGGTTGATTGACACGTGGTACATTTTAGAAGCTCTAGAATTGCTCTATTTTGACACATTGGATTAAAAAACCAATCAAATTACTCTATCTTGACACGTTGGGTTGGTATTTATTGCTCAATCTATAATTATTAATTAATTAAAGAAAGGGGATCTGCATTAATAATTAATAATAATAATACAGGTTCATTGCATTGACATTTCAAAGATGTGCATTAATAAGAAGTACATATATCTATCTATATATATCTATATAAAGCTGAGTTGTTTGACAGGTAGACATATATTAATTGTTGCATTGGTATTCCAAAGTTCTAAATAAAATAACTACCTCTATACATACAGTAAAACCTCTCTATAGTGATACTCTATATATGAATAAACTCTACATAGTCATAAAAAATTATATTCCCAATTTGAGATAGTTATAAATAAGAATAAATTTTACATTGTAATAAGTTATAATTTTTCTAATTCCCGTCTTAAGGAAAGTTGACTCTACATAGTAATAATTATTTGTATATTACAAAAATATATATAGTATGTTACATTAAAGGTTTAAGATGAAATAAAATATTTATTTAAAGTTGTTTAAGACGATAATTTATGCTTTAGAGTTGTCACCATATCTTTTAACTTGCAGGTACATTACTCACTAGCATGAGTATTTTCTTGTTAAAGCCAAAACATTTTTAGCTTCTCAAACATGTTTAGAGTTTCTTGACATGAAACTTTTTGTATTTCTGTACTATCATCCTCATAATTATTTCATTTCTCTTCTTGTTTAATTGTAGAAATGATTTCTTATTTTCTTAAAGCATACACAACTTGTTACTCATTTGGATGATTAAGGAAGACATTAATATTAATTCAATTAGTGTAGTAAAGTTGTCAAATTTGATCACTCAATTCTACAATGATTCTCCTTATCCACTTCATTTGTAACTTGTAATTCATCGACATCGAGGGTCCTAATTTTGTAATGTTTTAAACAATTGGCAATTGTTTGTAGCTTCACATCAATTGCCATGCAGCAACTGTATTTACAATTCTATCAAAGATGATTATTTTTGTTGGTTTTAAAACACGATCTTCTATCCATTTCAAAAGTAGGCAATTGAAGTGCTGAATTGAAACTCTAATATCATTAAAACATGAATTGAAATTCTAATATTATACTACTAAAACATGAATTATGAAATAATTTTTTTTTTAACTATATCTCTATTAAGTTATAATCTCTTTATACTAATAAAATTAATTACTATATATATATATATATACACACACACACACACACACACACACACACACACACACACACACACATTAATTTCACATAAATACAGACTCTTCACGTTCCCAATCACATTCACGTACAAATGCTTCACTCCGTATTCACATTTAAATGAAGTATCAAGATCCAGACTCAATCCGTAAGTTTTCTCAATTTTTCTTTGGTTTTTTATCTCATTTTTCTAGAACAATCTATATGTCGCAGTTCATCACCGCAATGGGTTACGATGACGATCCGTAAGTTTTCTCCATTTTTCTTTGCTTTTTTTCTTATTTTTTCTTGAACAATCTATCTATCGATGTTCATCACCGCAATGGGTTACGACGACGATCCATAAGTTTTCTCAAATTTTCCTTGCTTTTTTTTTATTTTTCTTGAACAATCTATTTGTCGCAGTTCATCACCGCAATGGGTTACGACGACGATCCGTAAGTTTTCTCAATTTTTCTTTGCTTTTTTTCTTACGGTTTATTATAATTTTCTCTGATTTTTCTTTTTATGCTTATTGAGGCTTTTGGTGTTTGATTATGGACTCTCTTAATCATTTCAGGATTCGGTGATAAAAATTCTTGATACTTTGTACGTGAAAGAGATTATGCTAGGTTTTTTGTATTGGAAACTATTGCAAGAGTTCCTTATTTTGGTGAGTGTTGATGCTTTAATTTTACAATGTAGTGCTAATTTGTTGATTTAAGATTTGTTCGAATTACCTTCTCCAATTATGTATTGTACTTGATTACGGGAAATTAGCGTGTCTGTGAAGCCTTGCGGGTTCATCTTTGTGTTTACTAAGTAGCTAAAGGACTTTTGATGGTGGTTGTACACTTGTATTACGATTAGTTGTGATTTGATGGCTTTCTTTTTTTTTTTTTTTTTAAATGGCAGCTTTTATCTCGGTTCTGCATTTGTATGAGAGTTTTGGTTGGTGGAGAAAAGCGGATTATTTGAAAGTCCATTTTGCTGAGAGCTGGAATGAGATGCATCGCTTGCTTATCATGGAAGTGAGATTTTTACATGATTATTCCTAACTTTTTTAGGTTTATACACTTTAATGTAATTTTTTAAGTCAGACAGTTCATCTGAGGAGGCTTGCCCTGTTACTTATGGCAGGCAGCCTGTGGTTTCCTCCAAAATCCACATTCTGTTTGCCGTATCCAGTTCTCTATCCATGATAATATGTTGGGTGAAGTTTCCCAAACCCAACTAAAGGGAGCATAACATCGGTGAAGTAAAGGCAAGTGTAAAAAGATTATAGGGTTGAGGAGGAAAATGGACATTGCCAAAGTGACATGATCGAGGCCATTTTAAATGACCATTTTCTTACTAACTTGCAAGCATATGTAGTGGCTATAAAGGCAATACGTAAAACAGAGCCTCAGATCTTAAGCAACCTCAGCCAACTTCACCTTATTCCTATCTTTTTGAATCAATTCTACTAACAGGTACCATTTTTATTCTTTTTAGTTTTTCTAAGTTCGTTTTGGTTTTTTTTGTTTTACTATCTGATTGGAGTATAATTTATTTCCCTTGATTGCTACTCATCTACTTTGCAGAAGCACACTAAAATTTGGCTTGATTGGCAAGGGCAATTCTTCCATTGGACAACTGTTCTTAAATAACATGAATAATTTATTATCACGCAGTACCATCAGCTGTGATGAACCAATCCCTTTTCTTGGATTAAGGTATTCAAAGTCTTTTTTTTTTGGGTGTTTATGATTAAGTGTCTGTGGTGATTAGGTGGACAAAGCAGGGGCCACAGTGCCACAGTTCTATCTCAGGAGGCAAACAAGGGACTCTGTAAGTATTTTAGCTCCTGGGTATTTGTTTTTTTGGTTTTTCTATTTAAGTTTAGCTTCGTTTTTTAAGGTATTGAGTAGAGCTGGAAGCGGTTCCTTTTTGCTTTGTTTTTATGAGCTGAATTTATCTTTAGTTTGAATTTTGGTGGGGATTTGATACATATTATAATTCAGTTGTCGTCGGTTAGTACTATGATTTTGTTGTTATGAGCTTTACTTGATGATTGATGTTTTTGTTTACACTTTTGCTTAAATGGATTTGGTGATCTAGGCATGAACCAGAATTTCTGATGTTGAACTGTAATTTGTGTTTATAAGGCATAGCTATGTGAAAAGGGAGATACCAACTAAATATCATATACGGATATGAATTGTCGATGCTTTACTGGCTCATCTAAACACAGGAAAGGGGATGATGTGCAGCAGGCTTATCGTGGCGTAGATGGTGAGGACTTTGTTAAGGAATGATTTTTTATGTTGAACGTTCAATCAGCTTTTTATATAAGTAAATTCTAAGTTAAATCTGTTTGGTTGTGTGGATGTTATTGTATGCAGTGAAATTTCAATAGCATCAACATTTCATGGGTGCCTCATGAACTTACGGGACATTTCTTATGGGAATGAATCATTGTATTTTGTATATGATTTATAGTGAGTCAGTTGGTGGTGGTGGTGTAAGTTAGAGGGGTGTATCAGTTTCTATTAACTTCTATTTGTCTGTTTATAAGTATTATGTAATACATTTTGGCTGTGCTATTTTCTATATACTCCTCAGTTTCCACAATACATGCATGAAAAGAAAGAACCAAAATTGTTAATGATCATAATTAGAGGTTGAGTTAAATTACATTTGTAAAAGCTTCAAAGTTGATAACTATGTCAAGACGAAAGCACAATAATAGTCATTAAATTTTATTAATCAATCTTTTACCAAGTATTTAATGTAGTGCATGTTCATTGAAATGAGAACGAATTTCATTCTAGGCATTAAATAATCAAATATCTAATCAAATTTAATTAATATAATGTAGCTATCTGGTTTGAATATTACCACTGTGACGAACCAGGAGCTTAAATTAATGTTAATTATTATTCATGTGGAGACTGATTTAATACTAATTGTAGCTCAAGCTTCATACGGGATTTTTAATTACAACTAATAATAATTTATTTATTGCAATCTAATTCCTAATTTTTTTATTAAAATAATTAATTATTTGTAACCTAACGATTTCAATATGAAAACCAAAAAACAATAATATTTAATACCAACTCAATCATCACGAGATCATTTAATTGTGATGGATGCTAATGAATTTGTTTGACAAATCTATGTATATCGATATCTATATATATAAAGTTGAATACCCCCTTGGTTGTTTGACACGTGATACATTTTAGAACTCATTTTGGGGTCGTAGAATTATTCCATCTTGACACGTTGGGTTTGTATTTAATTCTCCATCTATAATTAATAATTAATAAAAATTATTGGATCTATAATAATAATAATAATATAGGTGCATTGTATTGACATTCCAAAGCTATAACTAGAGCTGGGCGTTTGGGACCGGGCCCAAAAGCCCAGCTCCAAAAACCGGTCCTAGGAGGCCTGGTCCCGTTCCGGGCCCTCCAATGGGCCATCCTCCAAGGCCCGGGCTTGGGCCCAAACTTTTTTTGTCTTTTATCAATTTAATCATTTGTAAAATTATTTAAACCCCCTAAAATAAGTATAAATTCAAGGACTAAAATGAAATTTTATAAAATTTATTAAAAAAAAAATTAACCGTTGGCTGCCAACGGTAACTGACCAATGGTTACATTTATTATTTATATAATATAAGTTTTTTTTTTCATTTTCCCCCCCACAACTACACTATAAATAACCCTAAAACCTTTAATTTTTTTCACACCAATCTCTCAATCTCTCATTCTTTCATTCTCTCAATCTCTCTACTCCAAATCTCCAATCAATTTCTCATTCGATTTATATTTATAATTTATTTATATTATTCAAATTTTTTTCTATTTTTCAATATCATCATAATTTCATATTATTATTTAATTTCTTTTCATTTTAATTATTTATTATTTTATCATAAATTTATAATGTCTTCCCCAAATGAGTTTTACGTTCCATCCACCGAAGAAATTGAAGCCTTCAATCCATTTTCACCATTTCCTCCAGAGGATGCAGCTGTAATTCCACAACCACATTCGGCCGGGACGAGGTGTAGCCAAACACATGTGAGCTGCGAGTCAACGGGCACGGACATAGCCCAACCCCCCCGACCGTCAAAGAGGGTCGTGTCCGATGTCTGGCGATACTTCACCAAATCAAAACGGCCAAAGACAAATGGGGAGGGGGAAGAATCGTGTGGGATATGTAATTTATGTGGAACCATTATTGGGGCTGAGAAGGGGACTTCGACGATGCGACGACACGTAGAGAAGAAGCATCCCCAAATAAATGCATCTTCAAGCGGATCAGGTAGACAAATTCAAACTCAACTTAATTTTAATCCACAATCCTCAACTCTCTCAACATGGCAATACAATACACATGTTGCACGAGAGGAAATAGCAAGATATATAGTTGCTACGGACTCTCCCATTTGTTTATCTGAAAATCCTTTTTTTGTTAATATGGTTAAAACTGCATTTTGTCCAGCATATACCCCTGTTAGTAGAACTACAAGTAGAAGAGATATACTAAAACTTTATAACAAAATAAATAATAAACTTAAAAACGAATTTCAAAATTTTAGGAATATATCTATTGCACTTACATCAGACATATGGGCTTGTAGATCAAAAACCGATTTTTTAACTGTTACAGTACATTTCTTAGATCATAATTGGGGTTTACAACAAAAATTGATAGGTTTTAAACCATTATATGAAAAACATAGTGCTGAAACTATTTATTTTACGATTCTTGAAGTTTTGCAAGAATATTTATTAACTGATAGAGTTGTAGCGCTAACGCTTGATAATGCAGCTGCTAACACCGCGGCAATATCTTTATTTGAAAAGAAATTGGATCCGCTTGGTGAAGGCAAATTTTATCACCAGAGATGTGCTTGTCACATCATCAATTTGATAGTTAAAGCAGGTTTAGATGCTATACATTCAAGGATTGAGAGGGTGCGTAGAGCTATCGGATTTATCGTCGGCGGTAGCAATAAAAGATGGCAGGAGTACGTCAAATATTGTAAGCAAGAGGACCCACCGGTTCGACCTTTGAAGTTATGTACAGACATGCCTATCCGTTGGAACTCTACCTACTTGATGTTGGAAAAAGCTTTGCCAACCGCGAAACAAATTACAGATTTCGTCAACCGGAAGACCTATCCAGAGGAAGTTGTCGATTATGATGATTGGGGGGTTTGTGAACTTTTTTATTCATTTCTTAAAATTTTTTATGATGCTACTAATACATTAAGTGGTATTTATTATCCAACTACTAATTTAGTGTTAGATATTTTAGTTCAAATTGCTAAAACTTTTTATCAATATAGACATGATAACATTTTTAGTGAAATTGTTTCAAGTATGGAAGAAAAATATAAGAGATATTGGTTAGATATTCCATTCTTATATGGATTAGGCCTTTTTCTAGATCCTAGGTTTAAATTATCCGTAGTTAACGGTGTAATTACTGAGTTAGGCCATTATTTAGGACATGATTATACGTCTTATTTGACTGACTTTAAAAACAAATTGGATAGGCTTTTTTCTTTATATGAGAACAGATACAATGCAAGTAGAAGTGGAAGTGGAAGTGGAAGTGGAACATCTGGGAGAGGCGATCAGGACCTTGATGTAGCCCCCCCTCAATGGTCGAGCAAGTGGGCGTATGTGGGACGTAGCGGAAGCTCCAGCTCTAGCTCCAGCTCGTACATACATAGACCAAATGAGATGACTCGCTACCTACAGGTGGACTTGACCTTTATGACGATGAAGGAGCAACTTGACATGGATATTCTTCAATGGTGGAACCAACAAGAAAGTCAATTCCCCATTATATCCCAAATGGCACGTGACATTTTATCTGTGCCGGTTTCTACAATTGCATCCGAGTCAACATTTTCAACGAGTGGTCGGATTGTTGAAGACAGAAGATGTTCTTTAACCGATGAGATGATTGAAGTGATAACGTGTTTACGGGATTGGACTCATGGAGAAAGAAGACTACAACAGCACCCTGAAGATCCCGAACTACTCGAACTCTTTAGGAATACAGATTTGAATAATGTAACTAGTGTTGACGATGAAATTGAAGATGAATAATTTAATAAAAAAATTATTTAATTGTTGATTTGTGAAGCGTGAATGTGTGAAATGTGAATATTATATTTATGTTAAAAATTAAAATTAACTATTAATTTATTATTTTTTAAAATTAATTAAATTTTTAGAAACTTACTAATCAACCCCTAAAAAAATACTAAAAACCCCCTATAAAATTTCGTTTTGTCCCCAAAATATAAAAAAATTGAGGGGGGAAAATAAAATTTTCCAAACCCCATGGGACCGGTCCTGGGCCCATAGGACCGGTCTTGGGCCCATGGGACCAGTCCCGACCAGGCCTAAGGCCTGGTCCGGGTCCTGATTTTTCTCATTGGCCTGGGACCGGTCCCAGGCCCATGAGAGACTGGTCCCATTTGGGACCAGTCCCAAACGGGCCCAGGCCTGAGCCCGCAAGGGACCGGTCCCTTGCCCAGGTATAGCTATAACTATTTTGATGCATTGGATGTGCATTAATAACAAGTATACATGTGCATTAGATTGTTATTGTATTTATTGTTTTATCTACAATTAATAATTTATAAAAAATATTGGATCTGTATTAATAATTAATAATAATAATAATATCATAGGTGCATTGCATTGGAATTCCAAAGCTGTAATCATTTTGATGCATTGGATGTGCATTAATAACAAGTATACAGGAGCATTGGATTGCTATTAATAATTGTGGTTTAATGAAATCTGTCTAGGATTGCTATTAATAATTATATAGGTGCATTGTATAGACATTGCAATCGTTTCTTCATATCCAATTCGTATTTAATTGCGTTGGCATTCGAAAGGTCTAAATAAGGGGTTATAAAAGGAGCGTATGTTCAATTGTGTATTATAGCAATATGTTAGTTGATATCAACAATACGTCTGGTATTTTGTTAATTGTTTATAGGTTATGTTAGTTTGTGTCAATAATATGTCTGTTCTTCATGATTTTGTTAATCAATGATTTTTTTATTTTTTTATGTTTTTGTTGTTGTTTACAGGTCAAAGATTCATGAATTGACAGGGAATAAAGGCAAGATGTCCGATTGACATTGTCAAATGAATTGTTATTTTGATTCGTTGTTCTGAACTATAAGTATATCTTCTAACTATTTTAATACGAAACTGTAAGTATACCTCCTAACTATTTTAACTGTTATTATTTGATTGAATGATTGTTTTTGTTCAATCAATCTATTTGAATGACTAATTGTGTTAGTCCTGTCGAACGGTGAGTGTATTCCTTAACAATTTTAATATGAAGATTAATTAACTTTTGTTGATTTCGTTTTTAGATAACAGTTGTTATGTGAATGAATAATTGTTCCTTAACAATCTTAACATGAAGATCGATTAAATTTTGTTATGTTTGTTTTCAAGGAAATGTTCATGTACTTTACTACGATCAAATCGAGGATGATTCTATTGTCAGCCGAACTATGAGTATGTGTCATGTCTATATTAGTAGAAACAATT